CAGAATGATCGGAGTCGCTCTTTAGATGGGATGCGGTCTTAGTGATTTTATTATTATTATGTGTAATCCATGGAAAATCGTAATGAAATTCACACGTTTATTTTTGCGTGCCGGCATGCACACGCGTGTGTCATTCCCGATTGTAGCTTTTTCCTCAATTCTAGGAAATTAAGAGTTTTGCTGTCGCTCTCTCATAGTCCAGCAATGCCCACCCCCTACATGTTAGTTGTGATTAGTACCACGCTGAAACAATCATGCCCCTCCCCCGTACTTCAATCAATGCCGCCCCTGCCAGCAGCCAGCATCGATGTGCATATAGCTACTACTATACACGCGTGCCTCGCGGGCCGCGCTGGGACAACCAGGGACCCTCGCTATGGAAGTCATTACCGAGAACTTGTTGAACCCAACATATTCCTTGTGAAACCGCCATGTGACATCACATCGATGCACATACTAGCAAGACACTAGTGGCATTGGTGTTTCACTCGAAATAAAGATGGAGAGGCCAAATGCAGTAATAAGACCTGGAATAAGGAGAGGGTTCGTACTCATCCATCAAGGACATATATACCAGAAGAACAAAGCCACGAGGACCACAATTTCATGGAGATGCTGGCGTAAAGAATGCCAAGGTCGAGTGACAACTGAAGTGTTCGAAATCCACGATGATGCCAGACCGCGCAATGTGCAGGTAATGTTTGATGTTCATTATAACCCTGCTTAGTGTGCGTAAGGCATGCAAGAACGTTGTATTGGTTCCAATAATCTATAATTACATTATTTTGTCCCCATGACATTCGTGATAAAGTGGTGATATGATGGTCTTTAACTCTACTACTTCTACTACTACTACTCTTACTACTAATGATCTGTCACCAACGGATATCACTATAACCGACGGATTTCACACGACAACCGAGCTTAGGGTCATTTGGTAACTTCGGGTTCCTTGAATGATAGCGCTTCATTATGAATCTGGTCCGTCCTCAATATGATGATATATTATCAATAATGAAGATGAAAAATAGACATCACGAGCCTCACGAAAAAAAAAATTAAGGAAGTGATTTCAAAGAAAACCAAGCGTAAGAAGAAATTAAAAGGGAGAAAATATAATTATAATGAAACTAGCGGGATACCCGCAGTTGCCCGGGGAAATCAGTGGCGTTACTCAGCTAGTGACCGCTTGGTTGAAAGGGAAATACCCCAAAAAATCTAACTATCTATCTATCCATGCATCCATCCATGCATGCATCCATACATCCATCCCATTCCATGCCATCCCATCGCATCGCACCGCATCCCATCCCATATCCCATCCCATCCCATCCCATCTCATCACATTCAGTGCCATGCCATGCCATGTCATGCCATGCCATACCATCCCATATGCCATCCCATCCCAACCCATCGCACCGCATCCCATCCCATATCCCATGCCATGCCATCCCATTCCATGCCATCCCATGCCATCCCATCCCATGCCATCCCATGCCATCGCATGCCATCCCATGCCATGCCATCCCAGCGCATCCCATCCCATCCCAAACAGTAAAAAATAATAGCCTCGTCTACACGACGAAATTTAATTAACTCGAGTTAGCGATTATGTAGCGTCTACACGACAACACCCGATAGCGTGTGTGTGCGTGCGTGCGTGTGCAGGTACACGTGTGTGCATGAGTGCGTTGGTGCGTACGTGCTTGTGTGTACAGGTACGCGTGCGTGCATGCATGTGCACGTGGACGTGCGTCCGTGCGTGCGTCCGTGTGCACGTACACCTGCGTGCATGCATGCGTGCGTGCGTGTGTATGTAAACGTGCGTGCGTGCGTGCGTGCGTGCGTGCGTGCGTGCGTGCGTTTGGATGTACACGTGCGCGCTTGCGTACCTGCATATGCACGTACACATGCGTGCATGCGTGCGTGCGTGCGAGTGCACGTACACGTGCGTGTGCACGTACACGTGCGTGCATGCGTGCGTGCGTGCGTGTGCACGTACACGTGCGTGCATGAGTGTGTGCGTGCGTGTGCACGTACACGTGCGTGCGTGCGTGCGTGCATGCGTGCGTGCGTGCGTGTGCACGTACACGTGCGTGCATGAGTGTGTGCGTGCGTGTGCAAGGGCCAGTGCCGGACAATGCTATAAGTGGAAATGAAAATGGAGGGGATTGCAAATGATAGGTTAAGCTTCCACTCATTGGAGAGGGAAACCCTGGTGAATTCTGTTCAACAGCTTTTCACTTTTTTCCTTTTTCTTTCATTTTTCTGCGTTTCTTTTCTTTTCTTAGAAAATTTGACCTAGCGACCAAGTTGTGTCGTATACATCGTATTATCAACGTACCGATTTCGTGTAGGTGCGCAGCAAAGTCGATTGTGCTTCCATTTTGTGTCAGCGTGTAATAATAACTAAGACTTTTTTTCACGTTAGATTTCATTATCATCAGTAAAAGTTGAGCCAGTGTAACGTATTGTCAGGATACAAATGCTCTTCTCAAGAGAGAAGATGAAGGGGATTTAAACTCCCTTAACTCCTTAGTTACGGAATTGGTATTTTATAATAATTGTTATTGCAGATTACGAATCCACATGACCACGAAGAAGAAGAAGACCTGATAAATACACAAGATGTCATACAACAGCTGCGTACAAGGATAGAGGAAGACCCGTCAATGCCCATCAGGAGGGCCTACAACCACGTAGCAGGGGAAAGAGAAGACATGGATGAAGATGTTCCTGTCTTCGATAGCGTCCGCACTTTGATGGCCAGATCAAGGCAACGTCATCTGCCACCACTCCCAAGAACAATTCAAGACGTTCGTGTTGAAGGGGAGTGGGCAAGAACATGGAACAGACGTGACTTTCTGTCACTCGTGGACAACGCCATGGGTCTTTTGGTGTTTGTTTCATTGAGCTGTCTACACATCTTAGCAGAAGTGTCCACCGTTTTCATTGACGGAACTTTTAAAACTGCGCCGACTCCCTACACACAACTTGTGACGATCCATGGACGCTCGATGGGGAATGTGTTTACATTGGCCTATGCCCTAGTAAATGGAAAAAGACTTGAACAATACAGACGACTTCTGCAGCATCTGAAAGACATTGCTACTGATGCTGGGGTAAGGTTCGCCCCCAGAACTGTGATAGCCGATTTTGAGATGGCCATCCGGAGAGCATTTGAAGAGAAGTTCCCAGGTATCAGGGTGAGAGGGTGTTATTTTTATCTTACCCAGAGCTTCTGGAGAAAGATCCAGGAATTGGGTCTCGTACATGCCTACAACCATCACCGTGGAACACAGCGTTTCTTGAGAAAGGTTTTCGCAATCGGATATCTACCCGTGGCGCTCGTCAAGCAGAACTTTACGCTCCTTCGAGATTGTGCACAGGCGCAAAGAGTGATTGGATTATATCCAGCAGTAGATGATTTCTTGGTGTATGTCCAGGCGACCTACATAAACGGAGAGTTTCCCATCGCCACATGGAACGTCTTTAACCGAAGTATGGATTTTAGGACGACAAATATTGTGGAAGGTAATATCTGGTTATGCTGGTATATAACGCAAATGATTTTAAATTGATGAAACCAATATCATTGAGATAATGGCACTAACAACTCTATTTATGTTTACTTCAAGTATCTGATAAAATGCTTTTAAAATAATAAATACAAGAAAAACACAATAAACCCCAAAAAAAGCGATGTAACTCGAATTGCCAGTGTAACCTTAATTTTGTGCCCGTGCCACGTCTATGATAATTCGATAAAATACGTACTCTGTGCGAAACTTAATTGTTCAAGATTACCAACTACGTGTTTCTTATTGTGTGATCATGGGCGATTAAAACACTTATATATCGCTGTATTGATCGTTTGGTAGACTATTATTCTATTATCGTGCAGTATACACATTCCATGCAGTATTGTTTACTAGTGAGCTTTGTTGCCAAGTTTTCGAACAGGAGACGACAACGGCAAGATACTTCTTCGTGGAGCTCCCTTCCAGACGTTATAGGGCTCTTTGTCGCGTTATGACATCTTGTACTTCAATTCTCATGAATATATTGTGTGTTGAATAAAGGCTGTTTGGGCAAATACGTTAGCTCGCAAATGTTAATTTTTTCTGCATTTATATTTCAGTTCGTCTGCATTTTAGAAGCATGCTATGCACACTGAAGACATAATTTTATTTTGCCTTTTTGTGCGTTAGTTGTATACGTCTATGTGTACCATTGAAGGGAAGTCTTCTTCTTCGACTGTGTTTTCTGCGTTTTCACGTCCTTTGTTTTTGCTTGTATTGCTTGTATTGCTTTGTATTGCTTGTATTGCTTTGCTTGTATTGTTTGTATTGTATGTATTGTATGCTTTGCTTGTATTGTATTGTATTGCTTGTATTGCTTGTATTGTATTGTTTGTATTGTATGTATTGTATGCTTTGCTTGTATTGTATTGTATTGCTTGTATTGCTTGTATTGTATTGTTTGTATTGTATGTATTGTATGCTTTGCTTGTATTGTATTGTATTGCTTGTATTGCTTGTATTGTATTGTTTGTATTGTATGTATTGTATGCTTTGCTTGT